CCAGTCTTCAGTGTAACATGATCTTCAGAAATCATTCTTAAATGCTGATTTATTATCAATGTTGGAAACAGTTTTGCTGCTGAATTTTTTTTTTTTTTTTGGAACCTGTGGCACTTTTTTCAGGATTATTTGATGAATAAAATAAAATAAAAAAACAGCATTTATTAAAAATAGAAACAATATGATATAAATAAAAAAAAGGAAATAAATAAACATGTAATTAAGTCATAGAAAGTCCAGGGTTTTTTTTCCCCCAGGAAGAGGGGAGGCTCTGAAGAGGGCGGCGTCTCTCTCTCTCTCTCTCTCTCTCTCTCTCTCTTTCTGTTCGCTCAGTCAGTCCGCTCAGAGGACGGTCAATGAGACAGACGGGCGAGTCGCTGGGTTCTTCTGTTCGGCTTCACATGCATCCGTCCGTGGATGAGTATGTCCCTGTCGGATCTGTCCGGGATTAATAGAGCCCTTTTCACGCAGATATATTTCCATAAATTCTTCATCGCCTCTCAGTGAATCGCACCCGGATTATCGTCATCACCATCACCATGGGTTTCTACGGCACTTTAAAGATGATCTTCTATAAAGTGAGTAAACGCTGTTATTCGTGTCTGATGCACTGCGGCTTTTATATCGATACGGCCGTGCGCCTCGCGTCAAAACCCCTTCAGCGCGGACGCGACGCGACAGGAACGCGTCCATTATAAATCAAAGAAGCGGTGCGCTGCACTGCGCGATGTGTAATATATCAAATGCAATGCGCGCCCGTGTAATGTACACATCTTGGTTGATGATAACGCCGGCGTTCGGGTTTGTCGCGTCGCGTTCTGAAGGGTGAGTCGGTGAAATACGCGACTGTTCTTACGGCCACTGCGGAAAAATCTCCAGCTGACTGAGAGAATCACCTTCCGCGATATTCATTCACCTACTTTGAGTCTCCTTGACAAGAAGCTCAGATGTTGAAAAGGATGCGATACACTTATTATGGGGTGGGTTTGGAGAACATAGGCTCTATCACTATTTCTCCACCATCTGCCCATCCTAACACACACACACACACTGCACCTGCGCTCCCTACATCATACATATCTATCCATCCCCTATACATCTCAGCAGCACTGCATCCTTCTTTACTTGTATAGCTGATTTATTTGATCGCATGTTTTTGATGTGCAATCGACTCTGATTTGATAGTTTGATGCTGTGGTATTTGATACTCATCTTCCAGAGCAAACCTGTTGGTGATATTAATTTGTGCTTTGCAGCTGATATGCAGCAGAAACAATATCTGGGCTCCCTCACTGTAGTCATGTTAACGTGGAACATCCAGTCACGACTATCCTAGAGCTTCAGTGTTGTGATATGTGAATGATTTTGTGTCGGAGTGGTAAAGCATCAGTTTCGGCGCTGCCGGGTGAAGGGTGTGTTTCCTCCACTGGCTGGCGGCATCAGGCCACCCTACACTGATTGGGTCACTGTGTCATTGCTTTTGATGCCACGTCTGTCCCAAAACTTTATATTTGAGTGAAACAAGCGTTAAGAGCTTATCAGACACGCTCAGTCACTGCAGTCTCCAGGGTGTCCTCTGATCAGAACAGCATCGACTGAAGTACAGTGACGTTGACGGATGCTCCAGGCAGTCTCCTTAATTGTTTGGTTACAAAAACAAAGCTCATTAAGGATATTTGACACTAGATCATGAGATTTTATCCCTAAGCTTCACTGTACTCAGTCTTTGATTTCTTGCAGTTTAACTTCCATGACTTTTCGGGTTTTATTTATGAAGTACAGCACACTTAAATAGTCTAAAATGCACGGCGTTCAGCTAAATGCGCAGCTGTGACCAATCTAAGAATTTTCTGAAACGAATAGCAAGGTTCTTCATTCATAAATCACAGGATTTATTGACTAATGCATGTTATTTGCCAAGACTGCACCGGCTTCCATGAACACAAGCATTCCTGTTAACCACAGACTGAGCCGTTTTTGCTCGTTGGTGTCAGACATGGAGAATGATTACACAGTGACTCATCTAAAATCAGATGGCTCTCGCTGTGAACCCCAGAGAGAAGCGACAGTCTAATCCACTCACTCAAATGAATGTATAACTAAGCAAATGAATGCTTTTACTTCATTCACGCAGTTTTGTGTTAAGTGCTTTTCACCAAGTAGTCTGTCTAGGTTTAGCTATTAGTAGTGATTAGCAAGTGTGGCGTTCCCTATGTGTTTTGTGTTTCGTGTGGCGTAACCTGAGAGAGTCTTAACACTCTCGAACACACACAGGCTCACTTTCATACGTCTTCAGTGTCATGCCATCTTTTTACTATCTTCTCTTCATTCATGCATATTCACACTCCCTGCCTGTCCTATCTGTTTGACTACCTTTGCAGTGAGTTCACTGATCCTTGCCAAGCTGTCCTGTAAAATAAACATATAGCTGGCATGGAAGGGGTTAATACATAATCAGAACATTTAATATTAATTTTCAAATGATTTTTGTGATTTTAAAAAAATTGATTTTGTCTCTTATGGACGTTTCTACAGGGCTTCATCTGTCTTTTTGTTTAGTTTTTTCTCTCCGGTCCTCATTTACTGTGAATCTCGCAGCGTGTGGTGCCTTCAGAAATCCAGACAGAGCTTCATTATCAGACACACCTTTCAGCTCGACCTCACTCAAGCGTTTCAAACACCTGGCACATCTGACACTAGATCAGTTGCGGCAAATGTGATCATGCCAGTGTTTTATTGGTTTCATTTGAATATAAAGACCAGTAAATATAATTTTTTACTGTAGGCCAAAACTCTAAATTAGCCATGAAAAGGTGAACATGTATAATCTGTATGGTCATCTTATCTCCATGAAATGTCATGAATGTTTTAAGCAAAATTAGAATGCATTAATATAATAGCGAACATCAGTAATTATTTTCCTGTTATGGCTAATAATTGATAAAAGTCTTTACTATTTTGTTTGCATAAATTAAAAATAAAACACTATAGAATCAGTTTTAACATGCTACAGGTGAATGTAGTGATCACATGTAATGCAGTATGAAAAATTAATATTCATTTTGAGATTTGCTGAAGATTACGTTTAGAGCATCAGTAAAAACAGTAAATTAGTAGTAAGTCTCTAATGCTCAAAAAGGCTGTATTTATGTGATCAAAATACTGCAAAACAGTAATATTGTAAAATATTATTACAATTTAAAGTATCTTTTTAATGTATTTTTATTATTTTTAATTTTAAATGTGATGCATTCTTGTGATGGCAAAGCTGAATTTTTTTTTAGGTCATTATTCCAGTTTCCAGAGCCATGAAAAGGTGAACATGTATAATCTGTATGGTCATCTTATCTCCATGAAATGTCATGAATGTTTTAAGCAAAATTAGAATGCATTAATATAATAGCGAACATCAGTAATTATTTTCCTGTTATGGCCAATAATTGATAAAAGTCTTTACTATTTTGTTTGCATAAATTAAAAATAAAACACTATAGAATCAGTTTTAACATGCTACAGGTGAATGTAGTGATCACATGTAATGCAGTATGAAAAATTAATATTCATTTTGAGATTTGCTGAAGATTACGTTTAGAGCATCAGTAAAAACAGTAATTAGTAGTAAGTCTCTAATGCTCAAAAAGGCTGTATTTATGTGATCAAAATACTGCAAAACTGTAATATTGTAAAATATTATTACAATTTAAAGTATCTTTTTAATGTATTTTTATTATTTTTTATTTGAAATGTGATGCATTCTTGTGATGGCAAAGCTGAATTTTTTTTTAGGTCATTATTCCAGTTTCCAGCTTAATATTTTTCAGGGAAACCTGATACATTTTCAAAGAATATAAAGTTCAACAGAAAGACATTTATTTTAAATATAATTTTTTTGTAATAGTGTAGAAGTCTTTAATGTCACTTTTGAGCAATGCAATGCATCCATGCTGAATATATGTATTAAATATCTAAATATTTATATGTATAAGAACTTTTAATTGCTGCCAAATGCTTGCCAGTGTTCTGGTGGCTTATTCAGTGTACACTTTTTTAAAATAAATCTTAAATCTGTTTTAGAGACTTTTTGTGATGAGACTTTTTTAAAATAGTTATTAGTATACAGTACTAATAACTAAAACCACTGAATGTTGCTTACAGGCACAATGTCATTGTGATTTGGATATCATTTCAGACCTGTTATTTACCAGTGACATGATACGTAACTGCACTGTAAACGGCAAGTGTGTGTTTCAGTAGTGAAACTCTTAATTTCTGCTCACATCGTTAATGACTCACAAACCCTTGGCACGGCACAACGGTTCATAACTTGGAGTCTATCGCTGAGCTCCTCCTGAAAGTGAACTGTACAGATTCACTGGCAGCCCTGTACTCTCCTAAAATAGTTTAATTCAAATGTGCTCTAGGAGCTCATTGTGTTGAGGACACTGAACCCTTGTTTTTCCAGAGTAGATGCTCCGTAGCCAGGCACCAACTATGCAGCAAAACCAGAGCGGTTTCAGCCTGTGCGGGGCGTGGGTGACAGAGACAGTGAAGCATATAGGGTTGCTCTTTTATTTCCTTTATGCCCATATAAATTTAGGCTGTTGTGAAAGCACAGTACCTGTCACGTCCACACAGATGCGTGTTTGTTTGTATGTGTCCCCCTTTCCAGCTCCTATGAGGGGTGTGTGTGTGTGTTTATGCCATACACCTCTTTGAAGACTCGCATGACAAGCGTTAGCATCAGCTGTCAGACTTGGTCTTTTCTGTGCTGTGTCACTATAAAGTGCACATGACCTTCCTTCCTCTGGCCTAGATTTGGTGGTGAGGGAATTAGCACAACACACACAGACACACACCTCTTAACACAGGAACGAACACCGGTGGATCAGTAACGTTTACTGTCAAGCTGCTTCGCTGGTTGTTTATGTGGCTGGTCATCATTATTGTCATGTCCTTTACGAACCCAAACTAACCAGTGCTCCACCTGCTCTTTGTTGCAGATGAAGAGGAAGTTGGACCATGGCCCCGAGGTTCGATCTTTCCCTTCAGGAAAAAAGCCCTGTCCAAGGTAAAGCTCCTGCCACCTGACCTGAAGCTAGCAAGATGTTTTATGTGCACATCTACCTAAGAGTACAGTAACAGGTAGACATAGTTGTTTTTGTATGACACATTCCTCTTCATGATTTTTCTTTATTGATAAAGATTATATTTATTTAAATGTTATTATTTTATTTATTATAGATCTTAAAGATTTTTAATATTTTAGTTAAATGTAATTAAAAAATAATACTAATACCAGGATGCATTAAATTGATTACAAGTGACGTTTTTAATGTTACAAAAGAAAGTTCGGTCACTTTATTTCAAGGTCCAATTCTCACTATTAACTACAACTTTTGCCTCAATAAACTCCTAATGTGCTGCTTATTAATAGTTAGTAAGGTAGTTGTTACATTTAGGTATGGGGTTTAGGATTAAGGGATCTAAAATATGCTCATAAGGCCATATTTGCTTATGCATGCACATTTTTCAAGTATGCATGCTAATAAAGAACATCGAAAGTTCTTTTCAATATTTTATTCATTAAAGAGTCCTGTATCACTTATCACAGAGAAAAGGAAAAAAAAAAGCAAATCAGCATATTAGAATGATTTCTGAAGATCATGTGACACTGAAGACTGGAGTAATGATGCTGAAAATTCAGCTTTGATCACAGGAATAAATTATATTTTAAAGTAGGATATTAAAATAGTTATGTTGAATTGTAGTAATATTTCAGAATATTACTGTTTTAACTGTTTTTGATTAAATAAATGCAAACTTTTTGAGCATGAGATTTTTTTTTATTCACATTATTTAAAAAATCTTACCGATCCCAAACTTTTGAATGATATATATATATCTTTTGAATGGTGTATATATATTTTAAAATGTGAAAATCCCCTTTAGCCTGGTTTCCATCCACATATTTTTATGCAAATTTTAGTATATCACATAAAAAGTGCTGGATGGAAACTCTAAGATGCTAATAAAAAGTGAGGTGGGGAAAAAGATGAAAGTAACACATATACATAAAATATTAGAGAAACATACAGAATTAATTCCTTCATGTGCATCAAAAATGTCATGTGATTTGAATAATTTGCGGTCTGACACACAGACATGAGGAATCTGCCCTCGATTGCTAACAAACACAACGTTCATCAGAGTGTTTTGTCCGTGAGCTTTAAACCACAAGCATTTCATTATAAAAGGGCTGCAACTGGTTTCCCAGTTTTACATAAATTTCCACAGAAATTATAATGTTGTTCTTTTGAACACATGGGATGAAAATGTAAATTTATAAAAAAAATAAATAAATTCTTTACCTAAATCACAAATTTGATGACATTTTTTGCACACAGAATTATGATTGGTCTTTTCTTTCATGCATCCATCTAAAAATCTAGCCACCTTTACACTGCAAAGCTCACCTGAAACTTAAAACACTTTTTTTTTTTTGCCTTGCAAGAAGTAATATATACCTATAAAAAAGGCAAATCTAGCTTATTTTGGTGCCGCTAATGGTTCAGAAATGACACACCGTCACTGTGAAACCACATGCAATCGCATCCCGAGAGGTTCCTCAGTCGGCAAACCCAAGACGAGTGTTCATGCCTTATTGTCAAGGCGCAGGTGTTCTTGTGGTTTATATTAGAACAGTACACGAGCAACCAGGCAGCAGTTGCGTGCTGGGTAATTGAAGCATCTTGGTCTCAGATCCCATTAAATATGAATCCATTATGAAACAGACCTCACTGCGTGCTCGCCTGCGCTCTTCCCTCTCTCCTCCGCATCCGTTGGTTTCTTGCACCGGAGAAGGTATCCGTAGATAAGCAGAATGCAAGGAAGGAGTGCTGAATCGTCTTTTTGGTGTTAGTGTAGGGCCCCAGAGACTGTAAGGACTGCTGACATGGGACAACTCTCTGTCACCACAAGTGGAAAAGGGAATGTGCTTCAGTTGTTAATCGTTTGCATGCATTAAATGCTTTTGAGCATGTTTTACATGGACTCTAAAATAGTGAAGAAGGTCAACAGAAAAGGGTTTCCATGAATGAAACATCTGAATGAATTGATTTGGGGGCAGGTGTCTGAATAAAATCATGCTGACTGACTGATTGAGTTCTGAGGTTAAGGTAAATGGTGCTCATCTGGCACCCATTCAGTCCAACTCACCACTTTGGATTTTGGCTGTAATTCTCAAACTATTGTTCTGAAACACAGCCTCAGATCTTTATTTTCAACCCGTTTTGTTTTGAAATCTTCCATAAACTGCAGGCTTGCACTGGCCTTTTCATTTTCTTGAATTACCCCAACACAGATGTCTCCTGTCAGAGTCACTTGTTATAAATTCTGCACCAGAATGCCCTTAGAATGTTATTTTGTCTCTTCCCCACTCATTAGTTTTCGTCTTTTTCATCCTCCAGTCCCACAGGACTGCCGTTCCCAGCCACCCCCACTACGTTTCGGGACATTCGAGCGGTCAATGGGCAGGGTCAGCAGAGACGGCGCATCACGTCCATCCAGCCCCCCACAGGCCTGCAGGAGTGGCTCCACACCTTTCAGGTGAGTTCAACCAAACAGCTGAGTTCAGACCGGACAGATGAAGCTAACCAGGTGAACACTCACAGCTAGTACATGGTGCCTAAAACCATAATCATGGTAAAATCACTAACACAGTTTCTCTAGGCATATGTAAGTTCAAGAAATACTGTAATGATATGTACATAATAATATTAACAATACTTATTATTATTATTAATCCTTAGCCTCACATTGCTACAGAGCCCTACGTATCACATGCAGAGAAAAATGACTTTGCATGACTTATTTATTTGTTTCCTCATTTTAATTAAACAATTAGTACAACATGGCCACGATTTTACTAAAACAAGGAAATGAATAAAGATGTGGGAGCTAGGGGCGTATGATATTCATCCTCTACAATAATATGTTAATTGTTGTTTTAATGATGTGCGAGCTGACATTATAGAGTATGTCCCTCAAAAAACAAACAAAAACTCGTCTTGAGAGTCCAAAAGCATTGACTGTGTGATGAAGCCTATTAGAATGCAGTCAGAATGACCTGTAATACAAGTTATGAAAGCAACAAAATTTCCCAGTGTGGGTTTGTTTTGATTTTATAAGATTTGATATAGTTGAGTAATATCACACAATCAAGAGTGCCTTTTTCCTGAATATCAGCATATGAGCACGATCACAAATGTGATACTGATTTTATACAACAGTTCAGCAAACAAGTTAATATTGAGTCAGTTACATTTTAGACCCAATAGTGTCCGTTTTTTCTGTTTCGCCAGTGAAAAAGTTCTAAGCAAAGCCGGATCAGAACATTTGTGCGTCTCAGAGCAACACTCGTTTCGTTTCTAAATGAATCTGTTTTAGAATGAATCATTTAAATCAAGTCACTTGCTTCTTCTCTAAATGAATCAGCAATTTTGAACAAATCTTTTGAATGAATGATTCAGTGAATCGTTCATTAACACAGGTACAGTTATCCATTATCGAAAAAAAATCACAAAAAATATCAAGATATCATTTTTTGTCAATATCGCACATCCCTAGTGGGAACGGATTCTCAAATCATGGCCATGACATTTTGTGTTTTTTCCCCTGCGTGTCAGCTAAAGTAAAACGAGGAAACTATTAGTACAATGTGACCATGATTAAACTAAAACAAGGGAATGGTATAATAAAATGTGGCCACAAATTAATACAATTTGGGACGACCACGATATCTTAAATTGGTGGCCATGAAATCTATTTTTACTTTTGCGTCATGTCATGTGCAGGGTCTTCTAAGGAACACAACGTTTGCTGCAGTCTGGTTTTAATGCATTGATTACTTCTGGTACTAAGATCTGACTGAATCTATGCTAGATATTTAAGCACATGCGGCCATTATGCAACAGGTTTGCAGCTATCTAGATCCTTGTCATATGCGTCTTACTAGAACAACAGTTCAAGCCTCGACAGAGAGCAGAGGCTCCACCTCACTCAGTGTTTGCTGTGCCTTGCAGGTAATTACAGGCTTGATCAGTCCTCGGGCTTAACGAAGCTGCTCTGGCATGAAACAGCAGATACCTGTGTTGACTAAAAGTTCCTTCATGATGTCAAAGGCCAGTTTGTTCGAAGGCGTCTCGGGACAGAAGCAGCATGTATAACATCCTCTCAGTTGTGGTCTGTCTGTGGATTCAGAAAGGGTTTTGTTTATTTGCTCAGTCAGTGCTTGATGAGTTGCTTGCTTTGTGTCCCGAGTTATTGTAAGGCTTATTTCTGGAGGTGCAAATGACACCCCGCATCCCTGTGAGTCATCACTGCTTCAGTATCGCTTAGGGTATTCACATTAAATGTCTCATTTCTGCATTCTAAGCCTGCGGTGATATATCTTTGTGGCAGTTCTGTGTGTTCAGGGTTGAATTCAGGCGCTAGAATTGCAACCTTGTCATATTTGTATACATGGAGTCCTGGCATTGAATGTTAAAAATGTGATTTAAAAGAAAAAAAAAATTAAAGATATACTGCCATTCAGGGATTTGTAATGTTTTTAAAGAAGGTTATTTTGCTCATCAAGGCTGCATTTATTTGATCAACAGTAATATTGTGAAATATTATTACAATTTAAAATAATGTTTTCTATTTTAATAAATTTTAAAATGTAATTTATTTCTGTGATCAAAGCTGAATTTTCAGCATTATTACTCCAGTCTTCAGTGTCACATAATCTTCAGAAATCATTCTGATATGCTGATTCATTATCAATGTTGGAAACAGTTGCACTGGTTACTGTTTTATTTGGAAACTGTTCTGCTTTTTTCAGCATTGTTTGATGAATAAAGGTAAAAAAGAACAGCATTTATTTAAAATAGAAATCTTTTGTTACAATATACTCTTTCATTCAAACGTTTGGGATCGCTAAATTTTTTTCTTTCTTTTTTTGAAAGAAATAAATACTTTTATTCAGCATGGATGTGTTAAATTGATAGTGACAGTAAAGACTTTTATTGTTAGAAAATATTTATATTTTGAATAAATGCTTATTGTTATTATTATTATTATTTAACTTGCCCTATTGTTCTTCTAAGGATTATTTTATTTATTTTTTATTTTATTTATTTTTTCAGACTTCAGAATCATGTCCAAACTTGGCAGATTCTTGATATCTTAAATACCGTTGCTATGGCAACGTGTCAAACTTGAGTATTCTTTTCAGGTGTTTTTAAGGCACTTAACATGCTTAGAATTTCATGAAACTCGACACACTCATCAGTATTAGTGATAATTAGACACTGGCAAAAGCTCATAAATGGGCGTGGAGCCATTTATTTTACAAATGCTTATAGACCATTAAAATCATTTTAAAATTCTTATAGGTCATTGAAAGTTTTTTATATCCTACCCTCTCTGTGTGTGTATCTGTTTCACACTCTTGATATTCTAGAGTAACCCTTTCTGGGGGCAAACAGCAAATTAAAAACTATCAGACATTTCAGCTGACAGATGAAGGCTCTAACACTAAGGTTCTTATTATAGGATAAGAAATCGTTTAAGCCTGATCCTGTACTACACAGTTTCCATGAGTTAGAATGACAAACAAACACATAAATTAAGTTAATATGTACTGTACTGGTAATATAGTTTTATATAATTATTTCACAAATGCTTATAGATCATTAAAAGGTTTGGTAACACTTTACAATGTCTTAACATCAGTTAATGCATTAACTCGCATGAACTAACAAAGAACAATATATTATATTAATATATAATGCAAGTAAGTTTTGAACTTAAAATTAACTAAGATTAATAATGGCTTGGGCCCGTCATTGCCGCTATATTCTAAACTTGCTCTTTGTAAGTGCATTATCAATAGAATGATTTTTAAAAATGCTTATGACTTTGAAAAATAATGGAAATTCATTTGATAAAGTTTGGGAAGCCTGTGTAGATCTCAGGCTTAGTTTAATTAGTTTGCTTTGATTAAAGAACCAACACAGTTGAACATTTTAATCAGATTTTCCCTCAACTGTTTAATGGGATCTCATTATTTTGAGCTGTTAAAACAGCAGTTATACACATATAGACATAAACCAGCCTGTGACAACAACGCCGAACTTGAGCAGTAAATTACGGTGCTTTATTACGTTCCGAGCGCCATGAGATCAGCGAAACATTTTATTCAACTGGATGAAGTTGACCGCAGCGTAATATGGGGAGAACGAACCCTGGGAAGTTTCCAACAGCCTCAAGACATGAAGACTTACGAGAAACTTCTCGGTTACGTTCATGCCAGAAGTTACCATTTCAGGAGACGGTTTGCTGCTGTAGAGCCAGTGAAAAAGCATCGCCAGCCCTAACTGAAATGTAAATCTAAAGCTCTAAGTGTAAATGGATGGCTCTGTATGTTTTTGGTGTGTGTTACAGAGCTGGAGTGGCCCAGAGAAGCTGCTCGCGCTGGATGAGTTGATTGACAGCTGTGAGCCAACACAGGTGAAGCACATGATGCAGGTGATCGAACCACAGTTTCAGAGAGACTTCATCTCGCTCCTGCCCAGAGAGGTAAAGCACTCACACACTCATCTTTGTGTTGAGAAATTTGCAGAAACACTGATTATCACTGATTCAAGTTTTGATGCCACTAACTTGGCAAACTTGGGCACTTATTTCATCCTCAAAAGTGCTGTATGAACCTTGTAAACAGAACTTGTTTCCTAGCTAGTAGTGTGCTCTTTGTGTAGAAGTTGCATAGTCAGCCAATCAGATTAGATATGGCTAGATTAAGACACATGTGTGTCTAATAGAATGCAGCAGTCGGGTTCACATTCATTTTCTCCATAGGGGAACTGATTTTTAACAATAATTTATAAACCGTTAAATTCGTGCCTGCTTTAAGTGACGAGGTTGTTAATGAATGCTTTTGTTGAAGCCATCAACCCACTTATTTCAACTTATTTTTTAAATACTCAAGCTTAACACTGCATTACCCATGATTCTGCCAAACGATTAATCGCGATTAATCGCATCCAAAATAAAAGTTTTTGTTTACATAATATATGTGTGTGTACTGTGCATATTTATTATGTGTATATATAAATACAAACACATGCATGTATATATTTCAGAAAAATTTTTTATATATTAAATATATTTATATTGGTAACACTTTAGTATTGGGACCAATTCTCACTATTAACTAGTTGCTTATTAGCATGCATATTACTAGAATATTAAGCATTTATTAGTAGTGATTAAGCACATATTAATGCCTTATTCTACATGACCTTATTCTACATCCCTAATCCTACCCAATACCTAAACCTAACAACTACCTTACTAACTATTAATAAGCAGCAAATTAGGAGTTTATTGAGGGGAAAAGTCGTAGTTAATAGTGAATAAGTGTTCCCTATTCTTAAGTGTTACCAAACTTTAATTTTGAATGTGATTAATCGTTTGACAGCACTAATTGTTTTATGTTTATAATCTGCATTTTTAAATCCGTTTTTATAATTATCCATTTAATTTAGATCATTTTGCTGGACTCGTTAAAGCCTTTAAGTACACTCTTCTACCTTAGTCTACCTTTCTGTCCGATTTTCACACATTTCACACAAAATTTGTGATGTTGCGATTCACCTTGTAGCTGGTTGCTTTATGGCTTATATCTAACACTTTGTTAAAAAATAAAATGGAAAATGAATAGGAAAAAATACCGAAAAGATGTCGAACTCCGTGTTCATCAGTCCAACACACTCTCATGGCAGTGTGTAACTATTACGTTTTGGCAAATTATTGGCTAATTTGTATGATAATATCATTCGTAGGTTAGGTTTAGGAATAAACCTTCAATCTTTTTTTTTTTTTTTCAAAAAACATTCACATCAGTGAAACTACTGAAGCCCTGAGCTCTAAACAGACCTTTTCATTTCTCTTCATTTTCTTTTTAGAACAGTCTTGCACTTTATGGCTGAGATGTTTGACAGGGTGGTTTTAGAGCGTATAAGTGCTGGAGTGCAGTTGACAAGCATGTCCTCTCTTACACCTCTTCAGAGAGATGTTACAACTCTCTCAGCTTCTTTTCAGGAATACAGAGAGGACTCTACCCCGTCGTTTCTCTGCCCTCTCTTCCTTTCATCCTCTCTTCTTCTTGTCACTGGTTCAGCTTGCCTTTCTTGTTCTCCTTCACCTGTCACCTCGTCTCCCTCTTTCCTGGCTCTCCTCCCCATCAGGCTGTTTTTCTTCCGTGTCAGTGTGTCTGTCTGTCTCTCTGCCTGATTGAAGCAGATTGTGGAAAAAGCTCCTCTAGGCTATTACTGTACACACTCTGGAGTCTCAGGCTGCAACCTTCATGTAGGATCACACTGAACTGTTTGGACATGCTCCATGGTCTTCCCTCAGCTCTTTGCAAAGTTGCAGTGCACTTGAAAATGGGAGAATAGAAAAAATAACTTTAATAGGGTTAAATAATTTTTTTTTTTTTTTTACTTCTTACAGATTTTTTTTTTTTTTCCCAAAAATAATCAAAAAGAATATTTTATTCAATAAATGGGGGCTGGTGATAGTTTAGGTATTAGTTTGTAATATATTTTGTTATATTATCAATTAGATTATCAGTAATGATGACAATGTTTGTCACCATATGAAAGTGCTTTTTATATAGCATTTTGATATTCTTTTGATATGTGATTTTTTTTTTATCAAAAAAATGTATACATTTTAAATTTTATACATTTTCTATCAATTGAAATATCATTTAAGAACATAATTTAAATTAGTTTCATTTACCCAATGTTCTGTTTAACCACTTCTATAAGGCTTTCATAATTGCATATATTTTTACCTAAAATCCTATCAAAAATATAATAATAATTATTATTATCAGTGTTATAATTATTTCTCATCATATTAGTATTATTTTTCATTATTCACATTTATTTATTTGTTTTGCTATTTAACATTTTGTGGGATTTTAAAAAGTATCACCTTGAATACATTTCAGATTTTATGGTCTAGTATTAATCTTACATGTCTTTTATATAGCTTCTTGTTAATTTGTATGAGTTTTGTTATTTATTCTGTTTTCGCCATGAAGATAGCCTTACTGCTGACAAGGTGTTAAAAAAATAAATAAATGAAAACAATAAATGTACATTTTGGCAGAAATATTTATCCTGTTATAGCCTACTCTTCCTGTAAGATCTCTCCACCTCCCTCACGCTCTCCTGATGTCTGGTTGTTTTTCTGTCTGTCTTGTGTTGTAGTTGGCCTTACACGTGTTGTCATTTCTGGAGCCAAAGGATCTGCTTCAGGCAGCTCAGACGTGTCGTTACTGGCGCATCCTAGCAGAGGACAACCTGCTCTGGAGGGAGAAATGCAAAGAAGAAGGTGCTTTTCCACCAATTCTGTGGCTTTGGAAATTCATGCACATGTATATTGAATAGTTGCATTGAATCATTAGTGTCACGTCTGTTTTGCAGGTATTGACGAGCCCTTGCACATAAAGAGAAGGAAGGTTATCAAGCCAGGGTTCGCACACAGCCCCTGGAAGAGTGCCTATATTAGACAACACAGAATAGACACCAACTGGAGGAGAGGAGACCTCAAATCACCTAAGGTAGCTGTATTATTAATAATAATCAGCATATTAGAATGATTTCTGAAGGATCATGTGACTCTGAAGATTCTGAAAATTCAGCTTTGATCACAGCAATAAATTACATTTTAACAGATATTCACATAGGAAACAGTTATAATATTTCACAGATATTACTGTTTTTACTGTATTTATCAAATAAATGCAGCCTTGATGTGCGTTTAGATGCTTTCAAAAACATTTACAACCCCACTTTCGGAAAGACATTTCATTTCAACATGCCTACATTTCATTTTTCTAGTTCCTTGTTACTGTAAGGCATAATATTAAATATCTTTAATCACCCTTAAACTGCTTTTTATTGCTTGAAGTCTTTATCTAATTTGGAAATCTTTCTGAGAGACGCCCATCAGTGCATCACCTGGGGAACAGAAAAGTTTAAGACCCTGAAAAGAGCAACTTAAGTCCTCTCGACGGCACAGTGGGTGCCAGAAAATAGGGATTTTGGGTTATTCATGTACCGGCGGCGACGGAAGCAGCGGTTTACCTGACTCGGTTGTTACCATGGTGACCATGAACCTGTTGGTTCCTGTAATTGAAAGCTGCTGTGTCATTTGCCAGCATCAGCAGCATCACGTTGTTCTTGCGCATCACTGTAATACTAGCATTTCTGTTCATTTTGTAATTAATCCTCTTTTTCTCTCTGTTTTCAGGTGTTGAAAGGCCATGACGATCATGTCATCACCTGTCTCCAGTTCTGTGGAAACTGCATTGTGAGCGGCTCAGACGACAACACGCTCAAAGTATGGTCTGCTGTTACTGGGAAGGTGAGGTTTTTTTTTATTTAAATTTTTTAATTAATTTTCTAAGGACCTTATAAACACTGATAAATATATAAATGTTTGAATACATTAATTATACATTTAAAATACGAATTTTCACAAATTCAAGAAACCGAATATAAAATATTCAGTTGAATATCTGCTGTAAGTATATTAATTACAGCAGATGATTCTGATTAAAATTGATTAAATATTAGAAAATATTTTTTTTAAATATGCACATCTTATTTGTATATCTAATATTTCAAAAACCCAAAACATTTCTTATATTGTTACATTCAGTAAGATATTACATGAATCAAGTAAATGATACCAAATTTTCAATTCCAAACGGCCGTATTTGAGAAAAAAGTTTGCATTACTGGAAATTGCTGTTATTTTAAAGGGTTAGTTCACCCAAAAATGAAAATTCTGTCAATACAATAATAATCAGCATATTAGAATGATTTCTGAAGGATCATGTGACTCTGAAGATTCTGAAAATTCAGCTTTGATCACAGCAATAAATTACATTTTAACAGATATTCACATAGGAAACAGTTATAATATTTCACAGATATTACTGTTTTTACTGTATTTATCAAATAAATGCAGCCTTGATGTGCGTTTAGATGCTTTCAAAAACATTTACAACCCCACTTTCGGAAAGACATTTCATTTCAACATGCCTACATTTCATTTTTTTTTCGAACAACACGAGGGTGAGTAATTAATGACAGAATTTTCATTTTTGGGTGAACTAACCCTTTAACATTTCTGTTGTCAAATATTAAATGTTTCACTAGTTTCATCTTACCTCGCTCTCTTTCAACGTTACACTGCCGCTGGAATAGTAAACCCCGCCTACTTTGATTTGATTGGCCCAGCTCAATCAGTTTGACATTGATGAGCAGCCTAGAAATAACTATTAAACCTTTTTGTGATCCTAACAACAAACAGAGCGCTGCATAATGGAGTGCAGCAGAATCTTGTGAATGAGCTGTCTCAAACCTGCACATGACCATCTTCATCACTTATTCACGTGAGAACGTGAGGAGTCATGTTCTATTGAACGCTGAGATGATCACTAACTACAAACAGCATGTCTTTCTCTCTCTCTTTCTCACCTCCGTTCTCTGCCGTTCCCTTCCTCCTGCGCTTTAAGGATTCATTGCACTAGCTGATGCTGTGACACGGTCCTTGTGCTGCAGGTTTATGGCAGTTGTAAAATAATGTGTGTGCGGTTCACTCATCATCCAGCGCTGGCCTTTCCGTCCTGACCTCCAGTTTCAACCAGCGTCTAATGAAATCTCTCTTTTTAATGTTCACTATTATACCAGATACTAACACGGGCGTTATCATCGCTTCGATTCTTCCCGCTTTTCACAGAAGACGATCTCAAATCATTCCCAAAGTTATCAGCCTTTGAGCTTCTATAATCAAATCTAGCGTGCATTGATTGGCTCTTGCCTTATCACAGCAGAGACGTGATTGGTTCAGCGGTAACATGCCGTCTGATGAGAGACATCATCGTAGCAGATGCGCCATGATTAGGGTCATCGCCGCATCTATGGCAGGCTGCCTTTTTGTTCCCATCATGCAGTGCTGTTTGCGGGGCTGTCGAAAAGAAGCACCAGCTTGAAAATGCTTGTAAAGCTCGGATCAGCTTCTGTCATCCAGAAATATATCCAAATTCTTTCAAAAAAGGTTAGAACAGGCATTTGTCCAAGCAGAGAGTGAGCAAGCCATTTTACTATGAAAATATATATGCATGCATGTATATACCCTGCAGTTCAAAAGTTTGGGATCAGTAAGATTTTTAATGTTTTAAAGAAGTCTCTTCTGTTCATCAAGGCTGCATTTATTTGACTAAACATACAGGGGGGAAAAAATTATTTAAAATAATGGTTTTCTATTTTAATATACTTTAAAATATAATTTATTATCACTTATTCACGTGAGAACGTGAGGAGTCATGTTCTATTGAACGCTGAGATGATCACTAACTACAAACAGCATGTCTTTCTCTCTCTCTTTCTCACCTCCGTTCTCTGCCGTTCCCTTCCTCCTGCGCTTTAAGGATTCATTGCACTAGCTGATGCTGTGACACGGTCCTTGTGCTGCAGGTTTATGGCAGTTGTAAAATAATGTGTGTGCGGTTCACTCATCATCCAGCGCTGGCCTTTCCGTCCTGACCTCCAGTTTCAACCAGCGTCTAATGAAATCTCTCTTTTTAATGTTCACTATTATACCAGATACTAACACGGGCGTTATCATCGCTTCGATTCTTCCCGCTTTTCACAGAAGACGATCTCAAATCATTCCCAAAGTTATCAGCCTTTGAGCTTCTATAATCAAATCTAGCGTGCATTGATTGGCTCTTGCCTTATCACAGCAGAGACGTGATTGGTTCAGCGGTAACATGCCGTCTGATGAGAGACATCATCGTAGCAGATGCGCCATGATTAGGGTCATCGCCGCATCTATGGCAGGCTGCCTTTTTGTTCTCATCATGCAGTGCTGTTTGCGGGGCTGTCGAAAAGAAGCACCAGCTTGAAAATGCTTGTAAAGCTCGGATCAGCTTCTGTCATCCAGAAATATATCCAAATTCTTTCAAAAAAGGTTAGAACAGGCATTTGTCCAAGCAGAGAGTGAGCAAGCCATTTTACTATGAAAATATATATGCATGCATGTATATACCCTGCAGTTCAAAAGTTTGGGATCAGTAAGATTTTTAATGTTTTAAAGAAGTCTCTTCTGTTCATCAAGGCTGCATTTATTTGACTAAACATACAGGGGGGAAAAAATTATTTAAAATAATGGTTTTCTATTTTAATATACGTTAAAATATAATTTATTTCTGTGATCAAAGCCTGAATTTTCAGCATCATTGCTCCAGTCTTCAGTGTCACATGATCCTTCAGAAATCATTCTAATATGTTGATTTATTATCAATGTTGGAAACAGTTTTGCTGCTTAATCTTTTTTTGGGGGGAAACTGTGATACTTTTTTCAGGATTCTTTGATGAAAAATTTAAAAAGAACAGCATTTATTTAAAATAGAAATCTATTATAACAATATAAGTCTTTATCACTTTAACACATCCTTGCTGAATAAAAGTTTTAATGTCTTTCAAACAAAGAAAGAATAAAAATGTACTGACCCCAAACTGCTGAACAGTAGTTACAGTTTTTTCTGTATTTCTGATCAAATAAATGCAGCCTTGATGAGCAGAAGAAAATTCTTTAAAACACTTTTTAAATTATTACTGATCCCAAACTTTTGAACGGCAGTGTAAATATATTCGTAGTTATAAAAAAGTGTTCAGCTGGCCGATGATGGAAATCGCAATCAATATGGAAATATTATTTTTGTTATTGCCAGCATAAGTCTATTACTTTGAAAAATAAAAAACCATAAGTAATCTTAAACTAAACGCAAATATCGGCAATAAATTTAATATCGGCTAATAAATTAAACATCTAAAATAAATTAGATACATAAATAGATATTTTATTTCAATATTTAAATATAATTATTATAATTAATATATATATATTAGGGGTTGAACGACTTTTATGTGATGAAAGTCGAGTCTAAGTCGACTAGTCGCTGATGACGTCATTAATGAACAAATAAGTCTGGAGCTGAGACTCAAACACCTTGTGCACGGCTATGGCAGATGACAGCGCTGCCCACATGACTGTTGCTCCTATAACAGCTTTTTTATCAGTTCTTTTGTCTTTGGGTCGTTATATTTCTCACAGATTTCTGCTCGTTCTAAATCAGATACAGATAAAGTAGCACAGTAAAGATTACATTCATATGAATGCATTAGTGAGAGCGATTGCGTGTGTGAATTAATTCTACCTGGCAGCGTCTCTCTACTAGTAGTGAAGCTGTGGGATTTAGTTATTAAAGGGGTCATATGATGCTGCTAAAAAGAACATTATTATGTGTATTTGGTGTAATGAAATGTGTTTATGCGGTTTAAGGTTAAAAAAACACATTATTTTCCACATACTGTACATTATTGTTTCTCCTCTATGCCCCTCCTTTCTTTACCCGGGTGTCTTTTGCAAAGTC